ATTACGTGTCACAGGCGCCACGCAATCGACATTATGACTTTCGATAAACAATTTGGATAACATACGGACACTTACACGCGCACAAACTGTTGGATCGAGACACGGACTATTCGTCTACCGTTGTGTTCAGTTCCCGCCCCTACATCCGTCGCCCAGATCATTCAAACTATTTTGTTAGCACAAATTTTCACCATAGTTCTTTGTTTTATCACTTCACACTTTCAATGTATTACACATAAAAAGTGCAGTGAATTTCATTCATAGGAAGGTGTAGATTGAAACATGAGAAAAACAAACCACAGTTCGAACTGGACTTGAAATTTTCGTACTAGTTGATGATGGGTGGAGATCCGGTGCGACAGGGTGATTAAAAAACAATTTCAGTCTGTAAGCACGTTTCCGGTTTGATGCAAGTCAGTTTCTCGTCTGTTCACCGGTATGTCCGTACACACGCACACACACACACACACATACGTGTTGGCATAGCTTTGACAGGACCATGCGTAACTTACGCCATGGTCAGTTGGGGTTTTGATCGCGGTCAATCAGGTGATATTTCCGACCGACCGATCGATTGATCGATCGATCGTGGTTGGCTGACGTACGAATGCGTCAGTCTGGACGTGTGGCGTGGCACTGTTGCGTTCGCCGCGCCGGCTCAGCGGCCGGCTAACCCCAATGACAAGACCAATAAAAAGAACATTTTTTAAATTATCGCTTGGTATCCGTGACTTGCTATTTATGATCCCATCTTGACCGGTCGTGATGCAATAATGCAACTTGGCATTTTGTCGGCACAACATTTGGCTAGCCACTGTTACGTCGCCCTCAGTCAGTAGTAGTAGTAGTAGTAGTAGTAGTAATAGGCTATACTGCCTTATTGTTGAATGAATGCACTTCTCTTGTGGTCCCGATGAGAGAAAAGATTGTCCTTCTTGTTTGAGGGATGACGGGAAGGTAATCTTCACGATGTTTCCTAATGCTCCACTCATACATGTATGATATACTCGAAGGTGGATTAAAACCACGATGCATCGAATCAGACACTATTCATGCGAATTTATAGACCGTGATATTTGAGAATTCTCATGGATGGGAAAAAATAATCACCAATTCGGTCCATCTACTTTGTCATGCACTGAAGAAACTAATCGCGAACCGCGTAACTCGGGGCAAGGGTTTCAGCTCCTGACGATCCGCGGTTCGAGTCCCATCAGGTATTCAAAAATGCCACGAACTGTGGTGAGAATTCATCAAAAAAAGCGGACAAAACAACTGTTTAGCGTTCTCTGTTGGTACCCAAACCATTCCAATAGTCTATAAAAAGTTTATACACCTATAGTTCAAATATAATTCGTTCATTTCCGTCGTATGGTTGAATAGTGGGTGGATAATTAGTTAGTTATACTTGCCTAACCTCAGATTGAAATGATTGCCCAAGCGCCATGCACATCAAAACTACTTTTTATCCGCTGATCGCATTCGGATAGCCAGGCGTACCATGGCATTTCGAAATTGGGTCCAAAAGTTTGCTGATTCTACAGGTTGGAAACATTATTTCACCCCGTGTTGTTTGTGTGTGTGTGTGTGTGTGTGTGTGTGTGTGTGTGTATCCGGACGGCTTCCGTTGTGCACTTACTTCCATCCGTCTTTACGCAGCTCAGATCATTACCGGTTCCGTTTTTTTTTCGTGTTCAAGATCAAGCAATAATTACCCAACGGTATGACCGCGTTCTTGCTGCACTCTGCAACCCAGTCATCAACATGAGGAAACGGAGGAGTGAGTCTCCTCCTATGTGAAGGAGGATGGGTGGCCAGTGAAGACATAATCAGAACGAGAAGGCAACTGAGAGTATGCTTAGTTTGATTTAGCTATCATCTCATCTGTTTATTGTTCTTGCGGAACAGTTGAAACCAAGAAAATTCACACAGAGCTGTTGCACCTAAGGGAATAATGGGTCGTAGACTCGGGAGCGTAAAGGATTATACACTATTCTACCAGAATGCAGGATATACAAACCCACGGATAACATTCTGTTGTACTGTCGGGTAAAAGCATTTCATTATTGGATGTATGATTTACCAGGGTAGGGAACTCCTATCAGAATCTTTCGAGTTCCATTCATTGAATGATGTGAATGCGTGATGTGACAAAAGTGGTTAGCACTCCGAATGATTGATCCATGAAGTCCAGGTTCAAATCCCCATCGATTTAGAGGATGTGTTTAGCAGACTTGAGTAACCTGGCAGTATTCAGCCCGCATGCAAATCGTGGAACATTTGTCTTTTGATAAAGATTATTGTACAGCGATTTGTTTGGCACACAGTCTGAATTCAGACGTGTGATATATATATATATATATACTTAGCAGACGAAATGAACGGAGTAAGTAAACAGGCAATACTTTGGTCACTCGTGAACTCAGTGCAAAACGTCCATCTATGGTAACTAACTAAGCGCTGGCAACTAGGTTTTTATGGTAGCTGTGCAGTTCATTTCGACTCTAGTCTGACAATCGAAAGGCTAACCGATACCATCGCATCAGAGACACTGCAGATCACTGAGTATCGGTAGTTCATTAATCCCTGGCGAGGGTAAAACATTGTTTGAATTTTGAAACGGTCAACTCATTTTTAGAGCTAGTCTGCCATCAGATGCGATGACATTCAGTGAACAGCTACAGTGATTCAACTGATCTGTCCCAGTTTTGCCGGTATTAGATACCACACTGTTACTTTTGTGTGGCTGTGAAGCTCGCTATTCCAACACTAAAGAATGTTTTTAAAAAAATCACTTAAAATACCACGCCACCACTGGAATATGGAACGTGAATTTATTGCTGTATTTTTGTAGCACGCATTTCTCGCAACCATGGCAACACCTTCTTCCAGGCATTTCTCTTCACTCTATCCACACAACTTGAGGATGTCAATNTTGATAATCCGGTTTTATTCAAATCGCAGTTTTTTTAAAATTCGTTTTGCCGCTGTCAAGAATGTGATTATTTTTAGGGAAAACAAAATAAACCACAAACAGAATGAAATGGAGAAACGGGATGCTTGCTAGTTGACAGATTGTGTGACCGCATTTCGATTCACTTCGTTCAATCCCGTCTGACGAAAGATTAAAATCTCAGCGGTTGATGAAAAATATCCACTGTGTTTTGAGCACACACACACACTCTCAATACGACCAATTCGTGGTTGTCAGTCAATCATCACTCATTGGCTTTGCAATCCAAATACAATTCTGAAATATTCTNATCCACCAAAAAACTATCCTCATCCCGTCTGTTTACTTTACCTCTTCCCCCCGCCTTCAAACCCCCCACCCCCACCCCCACGCACACAATACTATCCCATTCACTCACTAACTTAGATGACAGAGCATTACTCATTGTGGTAAAATATCTCCGTTTTCCGAGTCCTATTACATCACCTAAAACAAGCAACCTTTGACTTCGACAAAGACAATCGATTCCGCTTAGTCTGTTTCATTTACCGTCACGCAGCTCTCTCTCTCTCTCTCACACACACACACACACTCACCATGAGGTCATTGTGAGTTGCTGGTTGACTAAACTGTAAAATAGAAGACTGAGATGAGAAGAAAGTGAGAGAGAAAAAAAACTCTTGTGGAGGATCAACATGTAGATGATGATGATGATGATAACGATGGCTCCAATCTTGACCCGCCTGAATGAACACAATCAGGGTACAAACCGTTTCTCAGCAGGGTTCCCACAAAATTAAATAAACACGCTTGTGCAAAGCTGTCTATCATTTGGCATCGATGTGTTTAATCCTCAGTGAGTGAATTTTATGATTTTGTGTCCTCGTTTCCGGACGAGGTGGAATTGATCGGAGCTGCGGGTCAGTGTTCGTCACGAGAGGGGCGTAATTCGTAGAATGAGTTCTAAATTTGTCATTATCGGATTAAATTCTGTCCCCACCGGAGAGATGACCGGGAGTAGGTTTCACTGTTGATTTTCGTGAATCGCCCAGATAATCGTTGGTAGATCGCGGAAAGCCAACTGATTTGTGATTGGATGCTACAATGCGTAGTGCAGCGTTCTGCTTTGCTATAACTTTTTAGATTCAATCGGATTTCAACTTACATTATTTGATTGTTATGAATAGTTTCTTTCTGATCACATCTTCCAATCAGGTACCTCTGATTTTCCATCTGGACCACGACACGTTCCACGCGATTCAATTTCCTATCACCGGTGTACTGAACATCTTTTAGGTTGGAGCTGTGAACTCTGTCATCGCCAAGCCTGACCTATTCAGGTATTGTGGGATTTGTCAACCCAGATGGAACGACTACAATAATCATTTCCGATAGGCGACCTTCACGACTATGTGGCTCACCTGAAGCATTTTCTCATCCCTTAAATGTATGCAGTAAAAATGAGAATCGAAAACGTAGGTAATGTTTTCACCTTACTATCCGACAGATCGCATAACACAACCAATTGTACGTTATCACTTGGCTAGAGATGGATCAATGAATCGATGCGTTGAATGACGCAAAAATATCTCCCGGGGTTAGGTTAGCTGTGGACGAAAATGGTAGTACAGGCTCTGCCGTCGTTCCTAGTGCCGGAACCAGTGACCAAACTCACAGCCGATCACAAGGAAGCGCATGAGTTATCTGCGACGGAAATATTTGTGATGATCGACACAAAGTTGACTGAACAGCTGTTTCGTCCTGTGTCCCCGTGTCCGGACTCGAACCGTGAATCTTCGGGTTGGGACTTCAAATCCTTAGCACTGATCTACACGGTTGATGGTCATCGTCATCTTTAATTACATTCAAACACTGAGGAATCAATGATCTCCGTATGAGTGAAACCCACACCCAAGACCACCAAGAGTTCTTGGTGCCTTTGAGCAATCGAATAGCTTGATCGAGACATGCTAGTCTGAACTGCTTCAAACGTTCGCATACGGTGTTGCTCAGGGGTAATTGTTTGAAGTACCTACCCAGATGTTCGCGGTTCGAGTCCCGACAAGGGCAAAAAAACTACGTACTAACGAGTCCCGAGCAGGATGAAACAGCTATCCAGTGCTCTTTGTGTCAGTCATCACAAATCTTTCCATCACTCACAATTCCATCAGTTATCAGCTGAAAAATAACTCTCACCGAATATATCGTCGCTTATCGAAAGGGAAATGAAAACAAGTGCCTGACATGTGCGCGGATAGTTTCGGTACAAATTGTTCTCAATGTGAAACAGACATCTAAAGTAAGTTACTGCTGTGTCCCGTTTAGGTAAATAAATAAGTACGCAGTCACTCATGGAGTACGTTCATGGTAGAAAGCGTACATCCAGCCGGTCCATAGGCCGGTGAGCAAGCATAAAGAGCAACACGTGGGAAGGCAGGAAGACCGACAACTGGCTCATGCGTCGCATGATAGCCGGAAGCGGTCACAGATTTAAATAGTCAACCAATCCATCAGCGTGGGAAAAGTCCAATACTAACACCTGATTGGCTGGAGCCGATCGATATTGGAGTACAGTCAGTCCGCATGTCGTGAGTGCGTGCATGTGTGCGGGCTGACAGCATCTGTCACTCCATCGATCAATCAATCAATCAATCAATCAATCAATCAATCCGGCCACAGACAAGCGCAACAAACAGTCCGGTCAATTGTAGGCCACAAGAATTAGAGTTCGGATAGCTCATGATATTGGTAACGCCTGTTAGTTAATTTAGGGTTCGAATGTCCGAATGAACTGCCGAAAATGTTCTACCAACCTGAATAAACAACTCATAACAAAGTGGGTATAATTCTCGATTTCCATATTTACTTCGATAGTTACTTCAATTCCGGGGAACCAGTCAATTGCGCATGGTCCCCAGAAATCGCTTTAGATATTTTATGAACCAAAGAACAATTGAGAGTGACCATATTAAAAATCATCAGGACAACAATTAGGCCTAGGCTGATAGGACATTTACTGTTTCGAAGCCTAGACGGTGTTCATGAGTGGGTTCGAGTCCCATTGAGGATTCTGACTTTCTCACACGAAATCCTCCAGAACTTTGTAGAACAGTGACTCCTCATCGATAAGATCCATCTGAATCAAACCCCACTTCTTGATATCAGTAATTCGCTGCAAAATGATCCGCAAAACCGGTTGCAATCTGCATTCCCTGATACGATCTTCACAAAATCTTTCACGGGTTAGGTTCTGGAGTGAAACGCACAACTGTTTTGCAGAGTATTTTTTTGACATTCTAACGAATGGAATGTCGTCGTGATGCAAGTCCGTTGTAAGTTCAAGGTAGGGGTGAGAGGTAATCAGACCGTTCCGAACCCATCCCCAGGATCCGTTCTGCACAGCTGTTCGGGCCACATCACTGTGGTGTTGCACCCCTTGCTGACCTGGAAGTTCAATCAACCAATCAATCAGGATCTCTTTCGGGTGAAAAAGAAACACGGAAATATCAATAAACCCCCTCTCCCTTGCCCGATGCACCCTGCTCTGCCACTGTACCGTGCTGTTTGCGCGTCAGCTGAGAACGGGTGCTGTTGGTCAGAAAAAATGGAAATTCCAGAGGTCATGCGAGCGTGAAATCACAACACTACTAACCTCTACCGTTTGATTTAAATTTCCAACTGAAGTATGCACACATGGGTTGAATTATCATGCTAATTAAAGATTAACTACCGTATATGGATCGACCTTACGGTTACTGATACCCCTTCTCATATTCGTCATGCACATTGTTATATTAGCTCGAGGAATACCGTCAGGAGAAACGTGGTTCAGGGTTAGTTTTCACCTTTATATTGAACTTATAAACTGGTGAAACTGATCTACCCCTCTCCCCGGGTGCAATGAATTGATCTCATTCAATGAATTATGTACAAGTGGCCGTCATAGGCCAACCTGTTTGAGCTAGAACTAAATTTCATTGTGAGCAATCACTCCTTCATGGTCGTTCGGTCGTTTTGCAAGCAGTTCTTGTTCATTCATTTTCTAAAACCGCGTGATGGCACGAACCTCTCTCTCTCTCTCGGTCGCATAAATTTGGGTCTCAAAATGAATCAACCCCCGGTAAATGGTTTCCGGCAAGCGCAGTATGATGCTGAGAAACTTAGAGTTTTCCGTAACGCAGGCTTCCGACGGATGTGCATCTAATACAGTCACGTGAATATTACTTCACTGTTTCTGTTTCTGTTTCGCATTCTTCCCTGGTGAACCAAAACGTTTAATCCTACCGCAAGTGGGCATGCGACCAATGAAAACCATCTTAGATCATTTTTACGCTTCGGTATCGGATACGTAATGCAATACCTTTGGTATTCTTACTGAAACCTCCCAGTCTCCTACTATACGGCCCTCAGTTTACTTCAAGGTCATCACAGCACATAGGATCCGTAATCCTAGTTAGACCAGTGGGCTATGCAAACTGTACCCAGTTCATTTCTGGTGCTCTGCGTTTGATCCTTCTATGCATAGAGTGGATGATGTGAACGGAGATGTGACCCTAATCGATTTCGTTTTTATTTCAATAAAATTCCTTTCAACAGTGCGTACTGCTGATTTTATTTCCTCTTTTAACAATCAAAAAATTGGACAACGGTGGTCCAGCAGTTGAGGTTACCAACTTGTTGTTCCAAAGGACCACCACCACCACCATCATCATCATCATCAACACCAACACAAATACCTAACTTTTCCGATTTTTCATATTGAATAAAAAGAAGTTAAAAGGAAAGAAAAACAGAAAAGAAAACTGAATTCTCCTATCCCAGTTTGGGAATTCACACAGATATCAAACTATTAACCTGAGATATCGTGTTCTATCAAGAGACCTATTTTGACACAGACTTGAATGAATCACAATCAGAGATACCCACCGTCATCCTACCTTGTTCACATTCATTCCGTTGCAGACCGCATTATAAATGCAACCTCGTTGCTTGCTATGCATCTTTCTTCTGGATGAAGATTACTTTGAGCGCAGTGTTTTACGTAGTCGCCTCTGTTGGAACAGCATAGACGCCTTTTTGGGGCTGATTGCATTCGCCCGTTCGCAAACACATTCTACCTTCCTCTCCTACCCCCTAGAGTTTGTTAATCGAGCCCACTAATCGAGTTGCATCCGTGACCTCGACAGTAGCGCGGGTAGGCGGATCCGGAAGTGGAATATTCATGTAAAAAATGGTGTATTCATCCACATGTATTGTGTCTACCCTAGCAATCAGTTGTACGGTAACTCCGGGGGCCGGTGCACACACACATACACACAGATTAGGCCGTGTCGTTGTCCAAACAAGTTGATTTGCTATTTCTGTCTGTCTGAATGAACGTCTGTTTATTTTTTTCCTTAGCTACTCACCCACTTGGGTGTGTAGTCCTTCCATGAAGAAGAATCCCCAACTCTCCACCCTTGTGGTCAACTTGCATTCCGGTTGTATCATATTTTGTTGGAACCATTGTGTGTGTGTGTGTGTGTGTGTGTGTGTACATCCCATATGCTACTCTGACCAGATTAATGTCGGTTTGACATGTGAGCATGTTGATGCATCCATACCCTGCCATCCGGATTCTGTCCAGACAGACCGGAGAATCAGCAGCACTGGGACACAATGTGAACATGTTTTTTTCTCCTCCCAGTAATGATTTTTACGGGACAAACGAAATTCCCTGATTGAGAGGTAACACCTGGCGTTTGCGAACCCTTGAGCAGTGAGTGCGCACTGTTCGTTGGGGGCGTGTGGGACTCAGGTGGGATCCCTAAAGATCAAACCATACAATTTGGAGAGGTAATTGCGATCGAGGTAGGTGAAGCTATCGTGGCATTCATCACCCACCCTGTCGCACTCCGACGCACTTCTTCCTCCTCTTCGTGGTCGGTTCGCTTGCGGTATGTGTGTGTGTGTCGATTTCCGCTGTTATTGGATTCTGGAATTTGGGGACGATCATGAAAAATGCAAGCATTAAGTATGACGAAAATTAATATAATACAGCATCACGCATTTCTGTCTGACTTCGTCCCATAGTCCCATCTCAAATTCCGGTCCACCAAGTTGTCTTGCTTCCCGAATAGAAGTTAATGTTTCGCAGTTTAACTGGGTTATCGAGAACTACCGACTTCTGGGCTTACTCTAAACACGTTTCTCTCCTCTTCAGTCAATCGAACAATTCTGCCAAATGGACAAGACCGAATCACTCTGTTTTTGCTCATTCCATGCGAAATGTCATCCAGTGATATTTAGTACAATGAGGTGGAAAAATTTTCGACTTACGTTGAGGTTATTTTGGTTGCCGTTGGGCACGCCATTGGCGTTTGTAGAGTAATTCATTGTTTTTAAATATAATTAGAAATGACATAAGATGAACTTGAAATTGATCGATAGTTTACGGTGCACTGACTGACGTGGAAAAAGAAAAACACGGTATACAAAATGACTGCCCGGTAAAATTAGGCCACATATGTGGTCCAATATCCCCGAATCTCAGTATTCATTCTATAGATATAATCTACTTCAATTAATTGATAAATTGTGATAGAGACTTCAACTAATTCATCACAGTCGAAAAATCGTTCTTGCTCAAACATAGAAGGAATGCTTCCATTTCGAATGCAGAAGAATAATTCATTCAGTTCTGTAGTAGTTGAAGTAGGCACAGATCACAAATTAGGAATCAAGGATTACGAACCCCACGGAAACATTGATTCGCACTGGCACTTTCCCGCCGGTATCCCACGTAACTGGGATGTGAGGATAAGACTAAAGAAGTAGCAGTTTATTTATTGAAATAAATCAAGAGGACTAAATAACAAGT